AGGGATATAAAATGCTATTTTTCCTCCACATTCTACAATCTGTCTGCCATGAAAACTGTGGTACTGGATAGTCCATAAGATACATTGTACTTCATACCAAATAATTATCTTGAGATCTTGGGAATATGGAAAGTCTATTAAGGATCTGGAGGATTGAATATGGCAATTCAAAACCATTTGTTCTGAATGCATTCTCTGAACTCACAACAGCATTTGTTTTTTTTCAATTTTTTGTAATGTAACAATGTATATTAGTGAAATATTTAAACAGAACCAAACAAGCTTATACATGAGAGTTGTCTTTTGCTTCCACAATAAAGAGAATTTTTAAAGAACAAAAGAATGTATCAGTTTTGATCAGCTACTTATATAAGAAGGTAACTTGAAGATAGATTTTGCTTCCTCATCTGTTTTGCTTTCTCCATTTGAAATTCAAATGTTAAACTAAATCCCAAGAAATGAGAATAAATAAATGAATGGGCAATACTTTTAAGAATTGTGTTTGCACTGGAAAAATGATGAGAATCTGTCTTCTTAATTTTCAACATAGAAAATGTTTTTCTGTCCTTAAATTTTCATATTTATTTTATAATGAAATTATTTTGCAATTCAGTGTGTGGCATCTCTGGGAACTCCTTTTTTCAAGAGTCAAATACGATATGAAAAAAAATTATGTTAGCGTCCCTGAAAAGTTACTGGTAATCAAACATCAATATGCAAAATGGATGGCTGTGAACTGGAATTATAGAATTTCCTTTGCCTGATTTGTTTTATATTTTAATTTATTATTTAATCAATTTTTATTCTGCTTTCATATTGAGATTCATACATTTTGCCTTATGACTCTGCAGAATGTTAAAATTACTGTGGGGATTTATGCTTCCTTGAGGCTATATTGTACCAGAAGGCTGGATAGATGAAAAACTGGATGATTTGGATAGCACCAAAACGTTTCTTTATTTGAAGTTAAGCATTTTGGCATAATAAGTTGTTTTACTTGCTGCATAATTAGAGAACAGATTGAAGTAAAAGCTTAAGAGGTAACAATGTTTTAATTCCTTAATCTGAATTGTTCAGACAACAGTTGTAGTAATAAGATAATTTCTACATGGAGGGAAGTATGCAGTGGAGTACCCCAAGGCTCTGTTTTAGGCCCAGTACTCTTCAACATCTTTA